GTGTGTGTGTGTGTGTGTGTGTGTGTGTGTGTGTGTGTGTGTGTGTGCAGGTGTATAAAAACATCTGGAGGGTTTCTTCATTTCAAAAGACCTGAGCCCGTGTTTGTCTCTATATTGTTGGCCTTAATCTAGCTCGTAGATACTGTGTCTATCTTGCTGCTCTTTTCTATATGAAGCTGGTTTGGAGGAAACAAAAGTTGATCTGGTCCCCCTGTAAAAGTCTTCGTGACTGATGTTGTTGATCTTCATACAGTGTTGGTCAGGGGGCAGATTTTATTTTTCTAATATTTTTCCTACAGCAAAAATTGTTGGAGTGGGATGGAAAAAAGATCTTTACAAAGTGGTGTGATAAAGGTGTGAGCATTACTTAATAATACCAACAGTTAATGAGCAGGTGGAGTATAAGTGAGCTCTGTTTCCAGACCTTTTCCATTTCCTACCTTCCATTGGAAATGCCCAGGTACTTTTTCTTTGCATATGGGCTTGTTAGGCACGTTCTGAGACCTTGCAAATACTGTAGATGATTTTGCTGTTCCGACTTAGAAAGAATTTGGATTTTAGAGTTTGGTTCCAGTTCCACAGTCTGGGTAGTTTGGCAGCTGTGACAAATATTGTACCCGTATCTATTTGATGGGGGATAGAGGGAGTTGGTAGAATGAGTTGTTTATCTTTTTACATAACATTTTAGACATTAAATTGGTCACTCTGGGGTGGGGTGGGGGGAACTGGCCTATGTAGGCCAGATTCACTGAATTTTAGGCTGTTTGTTCAAGCAACAGATCCGGCCTGTGAATGTTGGATTCCCACTCTGTTTTCTTGGGTGATGGGAATACCTGTAAGACACTGCTGAACTGGCTGGGTTCCTTACAACAGGGCAGCTGGAATGAAGGGCTTGTGTTGCCTGTGGATGCTGCTATATTTTTTCTTCCAAGCACCATTCCTGGAAATAACAGTGGTCTTAACCTCTCTCACAGACATTTGTTAAAAGGTTAGAAAAGGCCAATTTGGCCAACACTTTTTTTTTTTTTTTCTTTTTTTGCATCCAGAAATTATCATCACTGTGTCCTGTGGTGGGAGTAAGGTACAGAGTACTTTGGGATTGAATGGGTATCTAGAGAGGGTGAGCAGGACAATTTCAAGTCCTAAACCTTATTTCCTGTGAAAGAAAGACTGTATGTTATGTGTGTATACTTCTTTGGGGAGCTCTATCACTGTACAGTTTAGTTAAACGTGCTCCAAGGAAGGAGAAGCTGTTCCTCAGAGGTTTTTAGTTCATGCTTTGTGTTTAAAGAAGAATATTTTTCTTTAAAAAATAAAAATGGATAAGTTTTCACCTTAGTGTGTGTGGTCCAGTTATATGCACACTGTACTTTTGTGTTCATTTGGCACTTCAGGGATTTTTTTTTTTGTTCTGTGAGATGGTGACTGAGAGTGTTTTATGTATTATTGCATGGTCTTAAATTTATGTTTTTCTTTTGAAATGTATGTTAAGGGACAGGTGGTATAAGCTTTTAGACACAGGCTTTCTGAACACAGGTTTCAAAGGCTGTCATTTTCCTCCATTTATACTTTTATGACTCATGTTTAGATTGTTAACACGGGCTGTTAATTTGTTTCAAGACCTGGCCATGTATTCTCTGTATCTTTAAATATCTGGAGGAGTTCTGTGTTTTGCTGTGCAGGAGGGGATGCACTTCTCAAGCACTTTTCCTTTCACCCCTGTTCTTTCAGTGTTCGAGACCTGTTTGATGCTGCAGCCTGTTTTTATTTTCAGCAGTGCTGTGGTGTTTAATTGCTTTTGCATTACACAGGGCAGAAAAACAACCACTGTGGCCACACTGCTGAGTCTTTCCTCTGCTCCATCAGAGCTCCCTTCTGCTGTTGGCAGATTTGTTATAACCAGTAGGGATGTTTCATTCTTAGCTATTTAAATATTTCCATCCAGCCCAGTAGAAGTTTTCTGTTCAAAGACCTGTGCAGTGTTTTTAAAATATGAGCCACCACTGTTGGTAGTTTTTGTAAATGGGAACAGCAATCTGATAGACATCGATTTTTTTTCCTTCTGTTTCTTAGCCCTGTACAACTTTTGGAAAAGAGGGACTGATTCTTTCCAAAAACCCTTCCAGATTTTTTTTTTAATTGAGACACTTTTGTGGGTTTTTAATTAATTAAGGGTGATCAAGGAAGTAGTTTTTAAAGGAGGGTTTATTTTAATTAAATCACTGGCATCGGCCCACTAATAATTCTGTGCTTAGGGATGTATTCTGAAGGATTTAGTGACTTGCACGGATGCAGCACCGGTGGAATCCGGGTTGCTGCAGCAGAGCTCTGCTGCTCCATCCTCCTCCCGGTGCCCCCAGGGACCCCCGAGCGGCCCTTTCCCGGGGGGTGTTGGCACCTGTAAGGAGCGGGTGTGCAGCCAGGTACCCGGACCCGCCGGAACGGTAAGAAATGATGGATTTGGCCGCTTTTACTGCAGGGATTTTTGCCCCCCAAGCTCCGAGCTTTGCCGGGGCTGCCTTTGCCCGGGGCCGCCCCTCCGTCGCTGGCTGTGTCTCGCTCCTCAGTGTTTGGGTTTGTGGAGCCAAAGCGCCGTCCTGACCCCGCCGCGCCCCCGAACTTCCCGGAGCGGGCCGGGCCGGGCCGAGGGGTGGGAGGGGAGACGGGGGGAGAGGGTTTGAGGGCGGCAGCGCGGGGCCGCAGCGCAGTGGGGCCATGGGCGAGGCGGACCCCGGCGAGCTGCGGGCGGCGGGCAGCGACCCGGCGATGTCGGGCACCGACCCGGGCGAGCCGCAGAAGCCTCCCTACACCTACGTGGCGCTGATCACCATGGCCATCCGCGCCAGCCCCGAGCAGCGGCTCCCGCTGAGCGGCATCTACGCCTTCATCGCCGAGCGCTTCCCCTACTACCGCGGCTGCTCGCCGGGCTGGCAGAACAGCGTCCGCCACAACCTCAGCCTCAACTCCTGCTTCCGACGCCTGCCCCGCCGCGGCAGCCGCGGCGGCGACTGGGTGCTGGATCCCGCTTTCCACGACATGTTCCCGGAGGGCGATTACCGCCGGCGCCGCCGCCGCTTCCGCCGCCCGCCCGCATCATCATCATCATCATCATCATCATCATCATCCTCCTCCTCCTCGCTGCCGCCGCCGCCCGCCCCGCTGCCCGCCGCGCCCTGGTCCCCGCCGCCGCCCGTCGCGGTGCCCCCGGTCCCCGCAGGCTGCTCGCACGGGCCCTGGGCAGCGCTGGCGCTGCCCCGCGGGTGCCTCTGCCCGGAGCTGCCCGGCTGGGCCCCCGCCGGGCTCCTGGGGCCGCCGCAGGGCTTCCCCGCCTGGCCGCTGGATGCGGGGATGCCCCGCGAGCTGGGCGCCAGGATGCCGCCCTCCTTCAAGTGAAACCCCCACCCCGGCCGGGCTCGGGGCGCTGCTGCATCGCCGCTGGGCTCCCGAGACAGCGTTTGAAACCCGCCGGATTCCTGAGAAAGCGGTTTCAAACCGCCCGGGAATCGCCGTGTGAGAAGTGCCAGTTGCGGTGACTGGGATGCTCCCCCTGTCTCGGTCCTCTGAGCCCCGAGGAGGATGAATTGCGCTTCTCTGCTGCATCGGTTTGGATTTGGGGAAGGAGGGATTATGGTTTTGTTGTTCGAACCTTCAGGCAGGGGACAAAGTACGGTTTTGGTGTTTGAACCTTCAGTCAGCCTGAGAGGGAGCCGCAGAACACGGGCGACCTCTGAAAGTACGCGAGGAGGAGTCGTTCACGTGCTACTCCTTGGTTCGTGCAGGGAAGATTTTTTTTTCAAGTGTCCTTCATTTATTTTGAAGCTTTTCTTTCAAGGTTTATGGAAAAGCAATATCTATGTTGTGGGGTTGGTTTGGGGTTTTTTTTCCTTGGTTTTTTTTTCTTTTTTTTTTTTTGGGGGGGGGAATACCCCAAACCAACAAACCCCAAAGGTGTTTGGGTTAATACTGGAAATCTTGTGGGTTTGTATTTGAAGTGAATTTATATGGGATTTTTCATACGGGTTGTTTTATACTGTTGCTGGTTATGTATGTTTGCGTACGTTCATTGTTAACAAGTTTCTTATATATTACCGTGTAATAATGTTTTCCCTTTGGGTTTCAGAGGGAGTGGTTTTTATGCTTTTCTCTCAAAATAAGGGTTCAGAGACAAAATATGCTTCCAATGAGAACCACGTTTTAAGTTTAAGAGAGAGAAAAATTCAAATACTGTTATTTGAAGAGCAGCACTCTTTGTATGTTATATTAATAAATAGTATTTCCTAAGAGTTGTGGCTTCAAGAAGTACTTAAACTATTTTGATGCTTTTTTGAAAGTAGGTACAACTGAAATCCAGTTTTATAGTTATTTTATATTTTTTTTTATATTTATGATGTGATTCTGAATGTCATCTTTAAATTCTACCAATATGCTATAAACAACGAAATACTGTTAGATTTAGCTGGGGCAACAACTTTATGGTTGTTTTTACAGGATGCCAACACATTAAAGATGCTGCAGTTCTGTCATGTTTCAAGTTGTTTTTTTCTTTTCATCTCGTTTTTCATGTAGCTCCTGATATCTTTAAACACCAAACCATTTGCTATACTTCGAAGAAGTGTATTTGGACTCTGGTTATAAAATCAATTCAGTGCCCAAAGGGGAATGCAGGTACATAGGGATTGCTGTATTTTGAAGCTTTTGGTAACTGTATGTAACTGAAGCAAATTCTTACGGGGTTTTTGTTCTAAATAAGGCATGGTTCTGTTCTGCTTGGCAGAGTTGCTAAGTGCCTGCTGCAGTTCAGAGCATATGTGAATAATTCATATACGTAAAACTACAGCTGCTGAATTTTGGGTTTTGATTTTGATCTCTGCACTCCCATTAATTCCACGGTGCACACAATTAGGGAAAGAGGAAAGGTTTCTGAAAGTCTGACTCTCATTGTGTGCCTCCCACTGGTGGTTTTATCTGGATTTTCTGATTTTTCCATTGCCCAGGTAAAGGTCCGGTACATGGAGTCTCCTTAGAAACCCGGCGATGGGCCCCGTGCAGGCTGAAACCTGTCCCCAGGGTGGGGGGGGTTCAAGAAGGGCTCCCTGGGTGGGGTTTGATGTGGAATACCCTCTCTTGGAGACAAGCAGCGGCTATGCCCGTTCCTGAAGGGCCAGTACATCATTTTTCCCAGGGAATCCCCCCATTATCCAGAGGCCTGGGCCCAGCTGGGGGGGCTCAGTGCCCTCCCCTCAGCCCGTCCCCTGCCCCTGCTCTGTGCTGGTGAGGCCCGGGAGGGTCTCCTGCCCCGGGGACCCGCACTCGCCTCAGCCCTGGGGATGTTGTACCCCTTTGTGCCCGGCCCAGGGGTGGCTCCTGGGCTGAGGCTGCCCATGGCTCCGCATCCAGCTGGCAGGGATGGGCTGGGGTAAGTGATTAAATGATGGTCCTCTCTTTGCTTCCATTTCGGGACGCGGTGCCCTCACACGGGGGGGGGATGAGGGGATCTCCCTCCTCAGCCTCCCTGCCGGGGGTGCTGGGCCAGGTGGGCTCCAAATGCAAAGACAGGGCTGCTTTTATGCTCCCCTTGAGTAAAGATTGCTCCTGCAGTAATTATTCCTCTCGGAAATAAGAGATTATAAAGTGAATTTTATAGCCCGGTGGTTTCGGGGCTGTGTGCCCGTGGCTCGTGAGGCGCTCGGGCACCGCTGGCTTTTGTAGGTGCAGAGTGAGGAATTTGTCATCCATTTGTACTTTGTCTGTGCTGTGGTAGCAGCGATGCAGCCCAGGCAGGCAGAACAAATTAAAAAAAAAAAAAAAGGATTTTCAGATATTTGAAACCATTTGCAGCAACTTGCCGCTAAAGGAGCACTTTACTGGGTGTTCTCTGGTTCGTGTAATCCTGCAGGTAGCAAGACACAGACATTTCGTACTCAAAAGCAGACTTAACTGTTGGGGGTTTGTGGTTTCTTTTTTTTTTTTCCCTGTTATTTCCCATTTTAACATTTGGATTAACTGCAGCTCTTGTGTCTGGGGTATCTCACACAGAGATGATGAGCCCAGTGGAAATCACTGTCGACATCTGGCCCAAGGTTTTCAAAACCAACCAGTGAATTTGGGTCCTGGACACAAGATTTTTTTAATATCAGGGATTTAAAAGTCTTTCCATTTGGAATTCTATAGTTGCACTATAGTTTGGGAAGAGCTGATTTACTGTTCATCCCTTGTCTTTGATGATTTAGTAGATGGAAGTTCCTTTTTTTATGTTGGCGATCCTGTGAGGACTGTCTTATCCTTCATCTGTCTGTGTGAGATTCAGTAAATAAATGAACTTCCCAGTTAACTCTGGCTTTTAAAAGTGTTGGGCAGGGAGGTGTTTGGGGGCGGGGTATTTTTGTTGGGTTTTTTGGGGGGAGTTGGTTAAGTTTTCAGGATTTCCTGGAGCAGTTTTAGGTTTTAACTGTCCTGGATGTATTTAAATTATAATTGTAGTTTATCAGCAGACTTCTGTGTGATGGTGCTCACAGCTACAGCATTCAGGCCCCAGGCATTTCTAAACAAAAAAATGTTTACTGTCTAGAAAAGGAAACTGTGGTCGGTACATAAGCCTGCGTTTTATTCAGCAACTGCAGCAGAGACACTAGAAATGACATTTCAAGCTTTACATAATTACTAATACATAGCAAGAGCTCTGTTTATATGTCAGGTTTCTGAAGAACAGGAAATAGATATGGATGGGGCTAAATCCTGCAAGATAATGCTGTGTATTAGAAACTGCATGAAATGCTGAATGCCTTCTGGGCAGTAGAGACTGTGAGAGAGAATGCAATATATCAGGCAAAGCATAGAAAAGTAGTCTCAGGTTTCCAGTTAAAGCCTGTGTTATGATTAATATTGTGAATAAACGGGCACAGGAGTTCTGTGCATTAAGAAATGCCAATAATGTTGTCAAATTATACAAAGTAATTATAGATGCAGGAATTTTGCATTGGTCCAGCTCTTGATATTCATCTCTCAAAAAAAAAAAAAACAACAGGTGTGTCAGGCTTTTGAGGAAGAGTCAAGAACTTTGTTTTCTTTTTCCAATGGGTTCATGTGTCGTGTTGGCCCTCCATCGCTTTGAGCAGCCTATTTAGTTGGTAAAGAGTGATTTATTTGCCAGCACTTTATCGGTTTGTTATTGCCACTAGATGGGGCGTTTGTGCCAGCATCCCAGAGTGAGGATCGGTGCTCGAGGCTAAAATGGGTTTTTAGTGAAAGCCCAGTATCTCCTCCACCCCCTCTGGAAAACGAAACAATACATACGTGTTGGAGCAATGTCACAGAGAGATTCTAAACCCCTGCACATGGAGATGGGAACGTCCAAGTGCCTTTTTCACCCGCTGTTGTCCCTCCTGCTCACCCCCTCCCAACTGGGCTGGGGTAATTTCTCTTAAGGTGATGAGGTCCATGAGCAGGTCCAAACAGATGCAGGTGGAGTTCATGGTATTCCCTGTAAGAATAGTAGGGATGCACGTGACTGAGCTACTTGTGGGTCAAGTATTTGGATTGCAGACCACTTTGTGAGGAGCTCTTCGTCCTCTTATGCTCCTTATTGCACCTGCTTTGTCCTTTTTTCGGGAGCAGGTTTGGGTAATGAGCCACAGCCCCAGTAGCAAATGGTTCTGTCTCTTACGTGGATGCCCTGATCTAGATGCCACAAAAGAGTTAATCATCTCTTTTAGCTGTCTGTATTCTCCAGAGGCTCCTTCAATTGTCAGCGGGGATGGGCTCCTCCAAAGAGCTATTCAGAGCACTTAGACAAAGGCCCTGCTCTGTATCTCACCACTTGTAAGAGCCTCTCTCTCTCTTCGTTATTTAAAAAGACAAATAAAAAAACCCCTAAGAGCCTGGGAAGACTGGCTACCTCTGCCAGCACAGGGAGGTGCTGGGAATCCCCCTCAGCCTCATTCAGGCACCCCCGAACTCCCCCCCAGTCCCTGCCTCGCCTCTGTGGCTGGAACAGAAAGCTGCTGCATGGGCTGCACTTAAACCAGGGGATGGCTCCCGGTTTGCTCGGCTTTCCTGGCGGCTCAGAAGGGCCGGAGCCTTCCCTGTGCTCTGCGTCCCTCCAACAGCTGAGGCTCTTACTGGTAAGCTTCTCTCTTGGGCTTGCGACTGCATTTAGAAAATCTGACCTCTGCTTATTTTTCTTCAAGTTATAGCCTCAGGTCAACATTCTTATAGGTTTTGTAAATAAACCTCAGCCCAGCACATCCCTCTGTGAGCAGTGCAGAGGCTGTGGGTATGACTGAGGAAATGCAGCGTTCCCCTTTCCCACCAGTAGGTATCAGACTGTTTAATTCTTTTCCATTTCGTGGCCTCAAGTCTGTCTTCACTCCTTCCCCTTTGGTTTTAGCAATTAA